ACTAGCTCATAGCACTGTCATAGCAAGGCCTGGTACTGGTACACAATATCTTGCTGGAATGTGTGGCTGGGGTGAGATGGAAATTGGAAATTGTATTGGTTGAACTCTTGTGGAACCTCAGCTTACAGCAATTCACCCTTCCTCCTGCTCCACTGCATTCACTTATAGGCCTTCAGTCCCCTCAGATATTTTATATCCATGTTTACCTCACAGTGGACCCTTTAACTGAACTCCTGCACTTATCAGCATGTGTCCATTTGGGTCTGTGAAATGCTGTGGGTTCCTAATTTCGAAGGCTTAAATCTCATCCCCCTGATGTCTCCTTCTCGGGTCAAGGCAACAGGGGCATATAGAGAGGTATACAAAGACTCCCTGCCCTGTAACTGGGTTAATGATGACTTTTTGGGCACATCTTAGGAAGAAAAATTGTTTGGTGTCAATGTCTTGGCCTCATCCAATGCTGGTGAATCTTAAGATCATCACTCGTCCTCTGGGCATAGGCAGCCTATGCAGTCACAGCCATTTAATATTAGGAAGATATCTATGTATGAAAAGAAATAGACCTCAGGATGGTAATGATTTGGTCCCATCTTCTTTACGGGCCCAGAAGTATTAACAGAAATGTGCACTTTGGTATAACTGCTAGAAAACAGGGCTTTGGAGCATGATCTCAAACAGTGTCCCCCGGGAACTTGCCTTACCAAATTACATCTCCTTCAGTTCAAAAAAAGTCCAAGTATTTTCAAAATTTGGCAGGTAATTAACAGTTGCAGTTGCTGCAGAGATATTGAGCAATGGTGGCTGAGCGTGGGAAGTAGACTGTGAAACCAGGAGAGGTGAAGAAAAGTCCCAATGTACAAATTCTCTCCTTTTCTGAAGGCCTGAGACCCTGACTGTAATTTCTGACAGTTTGACTTCTATTTCCATTTGCCAGCCATTGTCATTATTTTAGGCCTCCATCACTCATCTGTTTGCCATCACAATTTCTGCTAATTCTATCCCAGCTTATGTGTTTCAACTACTAAAGGCTTCAGGTAGAAGGATTTCTCTTCCTTCCTTAATGTCTCCTCAGTTTTCCTCTGTTGCTGGGTATGGGATGCAAGATTTCTTTTCCCCCACAATGGGTCTGTATTTTCCTAAAGGTTGAAAAAATGAGCATTGTAATTCAAGGCAATATCACATAGCAGTGAAGAGTGTAAATGGTGCTTTCCACTTAGCCTGGTTTTCTACAATCCCCTTTTTCCACTAGGAGCAGACAAGTGACGATTCCAATAATTAAAAGGAATACACTTGGAGAATAAGCTGCATAATGAGTGTCCCAGATGTTGAAACTTCAGCTCTTTGATTGTGCTTTTGGTCCCCACAGATCTAAAATGCAGAAGTCAAATTCCAGTTTAGAGCTGCTGCCTCTTTCGGATGGTAGCACAAGCTCTGGTATCAGCACCAGTTAAATAACATATTTTCCTTATATTAATTATCCTTTTCAGTGCATACCTCAAAATGATCCTTAACAGGAGGAAGGCTAGGGAAGAAATAAATACTGAAATGTGATAGCATGCATTTTATGTGGTTTACCCATGGTCAGAAGTGAAAGCAGTGACCTGATAAGTGTTTCTAGTTTTAATATACCTGAAGAGGGGAGAGAATTACTCCCACTGTGGAGCTATCTGTGGCTGGTTTTGGTTATATGAAAATATGTAGTTTCTATGCCCAGGGATGATGGGACAAACCTAGAGTAGTTGTACTCCTCTATGTATGAGTAAACTGGCTATGTTTCTCTCTTACTCAGAGGATATTCATCTTGCTTTTTAATCTTGGAATATATGCAGGGCTGAATCTCAGAGAAAAGGCTTGGAAAAAAACAGTAAATTTCCTTTTCTTGTTATACTTCTTCAGCCACCCTTTTATGAATAAAATGGCACGGCCAAGCGTGAAGTAACAAAGGAATTGTAGGCAGAGGCCAGCATGTGGGAAGTCAAAACTATCTACAGCTGAATAATGTTCTTATTAGAAATGAAGGGCAAACAGGAATATAATTTATTATTGCCTCTCTATGTGGCTTCAGAGATCACATAATCCAAAGTAAAAAATGGCATGCATATGTTCCCTAAGATATTCTTCACCATAGAGGGGCTATATATCAAAACCTTATTTCCTGGTAATGAATTTTAAATAAGTGCCCAGGGCATCAGGTCACTGATGTTTCCACTTTGCAAACTGGGTGGGCTATGAAAGCCCCTAGAGCCCTTCAAAGGCGCCTTAAAAAAAGATCCCTAGCTTTAACTGACCAAACTTTTCAAGAAAAATACCTGAAACAATTAGGAGAATGAAAACCAGGAGGTCAGATTACTTGGCCCATGGCTGAGGATTTACATAAATAGGCCTAACCTTTGACTTGAAAATAAAAGGTAAGTACAGAGCCCTGACAGAACAGCAGGTCATTGGTATTTACTCTGTAAAGTACTGCCTCTGATGCTATGACAAAAATGCCAGGAATTCCACTGATCACTGTGTGCTGATAGGGCTCAAAGGTATGCAGGCAGCTAACAGAAACCCAGCCTACCTGACTGATCGAAACTGCTCACTCCCACGCATTTATAACCCGCAATCTGCGAGCGTGGGAAAGCGTGCAAGGCCTCAGACTAATTCCTCAGGAAAGAAAAAAGGAGAAAGTTGCTGTCTTTAACAGCATTTTTTATTCTTTTATGGTAGTTTGGGCAACATATAATAAAAGTTACAAAAATTCTCTGGGTGAACATCTTGAGATATTTTCTTCACAGTGTGTGCTGCTATTCAAGAGACTCCAGGGCTGGTGCTGCCCATGCAGGCTGAGATTGGTACCACATTCAGCATCGTGGGACTTTGTCAAAGATGAGCTATGCTTCAAGTGTTGAACTGGTAACCAGGCTGTAGGAAGTCAGTCCCTGGCTCAGTTTTTAACAGAGGAAACTCTAGACAGCAAGCCTCCAGGAGAAATGCTATGCTGTGTTTGTGCTACATTTTGTCAAGCAATGGCTGTGTGCTCACAGGTGAGAGGGAGAAAGGTGAACAAAACAAATTTTGTTTTAGTTCCATATACAATAGCAAAGATGCTTTAGATGATTTTTTTCTTTTCTACATGGATAGCAGAGAAAGGAAGACCCCTGTGAAAGTGGAAACAATAAGGGCAGAGTTTTTATGTTCATGTTTTATAGAGAGAGATTTGGTTTCCTGTTCCAGTTTGAGACACAAGCACACACCAAGTATCCTGCAGGCTGTTTCAAACTTGTTTCACTAATTAATCAAAAGTGATCCATTACAGAAAACCTGCAGGAATGTCAGAGATGGATGCTTCTCCTCTACTGTTTTTGACTTGCTTGTTGCAACAGAGGGGGAAGCTGTTAGTGCCTGTCTAGTAAATTATTGAAGGATGGTGTAAGAGAGCCTGCCGCCTTCCTCTTGAAGGGCCAGGGAGCCTGGGGCTAGCCAGCCACATGCTGCTTTCCCTGTCTGCTAGACCACTATGGGGTTTTGGAGGGAGATGGAGGAACACCCCACAGCTGGGTATTGATCAGAGAAGACAGGCTGGCCCCATGCCCTGGGCACTGCCTGGCCAAGCCCTGGGATTTTCATTGGAAAGCTGGGCAGGCAGTGCTGAAGCAGGAGGAGACACTGGCCACCTGAGGATGGTCAAGCAGGGTGTCCTAGTGTCCTAGGGTGTCTGTCCCTCTGTGTCTGGCAGGTCTGAGCACTGTAGGAAGAGAAGTCCAGCCCAGTACCTATGTCTGACCAGCATGGCCAGGGTAACACTGAGCACAACTTCCTTTTCCCTCTGGCCAACAGGCATGAGCTCAAAGGGAAGTTAAAACCCTTTGAGGAGCATCCAGTCTGGAGAGTGTTCATAGTAACCACAGCCCCTTTGTTAGTCCTGGTGCCTCCCTTCGCCAGCCTCAAGTGACTCCTCCAGTGGACCCCACTGGGCTTGGTCTTCCTGTACAGAGCAGTAGCCAAGTGACTCTTCTTCTGAGTCACCTGTGTGATCTCCTCATGCTAAGAAGGCCGGGCTCCTTTGGTGTCTGTGTGTAGGTGTGCTGTGCTGGCACTGTGTCACTGTGTCGTTGGTGCACTAGGCTTGGAGGCCCCAGGGCAGAGGTGTTACCTATCCAGTCCCTATACTGTGCTACCACACATCTCTTGCATGATGAGCTACATTCCCTGCCCTGTTCTTATCATCTGCTTCTGTTTTGCAGGCAGGCTGTTAAGGGCTGCATCCTTTGTAGAGTGCTATCCCTGCACAGCCCACTCACAGACTGCTCTTGAGTGCTCTCAGACTAGATTTTGGCCAGTGAGATTTTGTGGAATGCTGAACTTTGTACCCTTACCTTGAGCTGTGGAGCAGCACACTCTGGCTGTACTCTTCTTCTGATTCTCTTTTAACTAAAATGTCCAGTATGTAAATCCTCTTACCCCATTTTACCATCCAGAACATGTTCTGGCTTCCTGTGAAATGCCTAAGGGCAGTATTGAGTTCATCCTTATGTGATCTCTGATGATAGGGGGCTTTTTATTAATGGTACTTATGCCACTCCATTCTTGCAAAACCACAGGAAAATATTTATTATGACAGCACTTTCAAAACATTATGCTGACATTTGCTTTCTTCAGGTAATTCTTTGCTTCTTTTAGGATCACTGTTAAATGTGACATTCACCCTGACATTCCCTGGTGGCTGTTCAGTTCATGCACACGGTAGCTTTTCCTTCAGTCTCTGTATCTAATGGAGCAATTCACCTTTCCAGCCCCTCCTTTAGCTTCTGCCTTGGAGGTAGAACTAAACTTTCACTCCCTACAAGAGCTGAGTAGAATTTGTTTGGGGAGACTGTTGGAGTTGTACCCCGATCCCAAAAGCTCGTCATCAGCCCCTTCAGTCTCCACCAATGTTATTTTGTTATTTATACGTGCCTCTCCCAGCAGATAAAAGCAAGAATTTATTTTTCAAGAATCTATTTTTCAATAATTTTCAAGAAGTTTCATAAAATGTAACCCCAAGGAGATATTTTTCTTCCCCAGCTCTGTATTGGTTGAACATATTATTTATTCCTCCACTCATCCACTTCCTGTGCTGCCTAATAAAGGTAAGACTGCCCGTGTAAAACCCAGATTAGCCCAGCTTGCCTTCTTTTGCCTGTAGATTTTCCCTCGGATCTAGCAACACCACAATCTAGACCAGAGATTTGGGTACCTACGTTCAACTGGAGATTAAGATGCCCCTCTTATTGCTCAGGTGGGTTGACTGCTCCGTTCTAGGCACAGTGCTGTCCCCGGCTCTGTCAGAGCTTGAGTGGTAGCCCCTGGGTTGCTCATCACACGCTCTCCACACATTTGTAAACTCCTCCAGTGTCCTTGTGTAGCTCAGGCTCGTTAGATTGCTTCCCATTGCACAGAAGAGCTATTTCATATATTCACTCATAGCTGGGAAGCATAAACATTCAGAAGCAAAACATTACTTGAAGTCATAAGGATGGAAGGCTGCAGTTGTAATATCTTATGTGGAGAAGCCCATTTTCTCTTCTGAAGAGCTCTCAGGCACCATATCAAGCCTGTGTTTTGTTAGAGGAGGCATCAGCTGAAACAGCGGCAGCCAAAAGGCATTGATTCGTTTCATTTATTTTTAACTTTCCCATTGAAATGCCTGAGGGGGGGGTGGAAAAAAGGTAAATCACTCCCTTGGAGAACCCTTCAGCTCTGGGAAAGATACCTGCTGTAATCTAGAAACAAGCTTGTTCAGGGAACAGCCAGGCCAAGCACTGCCCAGGGGGCTGCAGTTTGTTCTTTCCTAGTTTATTTTAACAATGAGCACATCCACCTATTTCAGAGATTTTTGCTGTGCGTTTGGCTTTTGGCTTGAGTTTTGTTTTTCTTTGTTGTTGTTTTGGGGTTTTTTGGGTTGATTTTTGTGAAGAGCTGAGCAGATTCCAGTCATGAAGGTGGAACACTGCAAGAGCAGGGAGAGCCTAAGCCTGGGCAGCCTGGGCTACGTCAGCCAGCCGGTCACAAGGAAGCCTGTCATGTGCTGCTACTCCTCACACAAAGATCCCTTTCTTTCCATGCCCGGTGGGTTCTCCATCAATGAGAGGACCTTGTCCTACGAACAGAAATCAACGTCCTTAATTGCAGTGTCACTGATAAAACATGACTTCTTTACCAATTTGTGCGAGCACTTTGACCTCCTGCCTCGGTGCAGCAGACTTCGAAGGTTTTTTTTTTTGTCTCTGGCTCTTTTTAAGGCTGTGCTGGAAATACTGTAGGAAAGTTTATTTAGGGAGTATTTTTGATCTATCTCAAGCAAAAAGCTAAACTTGTGCACTTACAGTCAAAATTGAGCTGAATTGTATGGAGTGATTGCTAGCTCTGAAAAAAATGGATTTCAGGTTATGGTTTATTTTTGTTTAAATTTAGAACTGCTTTTGCATGAATAACTAGTATTATGTGTTTTCAACAAAAATGAGAACAAAATTTCTGCTCCACACAGCTTCCATTCCTAAAAATGTGAAAAACTTAGAAAGATTGAAAAGAAAAAAAATTCAGTACTGAATAGCATGGCTGAGCAGCTGTCTTATTTTTCTTCCCTAAATTGAATTATTGCTATAACTGTTCTTTCTAAGTTAAGATCTCACTGGGGGAAGGAAGAAAGTTTCTAGGTTTCCCAGCAGGGAAGTCTTTAACAAGAAGCTAATGTAGGATAATGAAGGGGTCAGGAAAACCATAAGCACGAGGGGATTGTCCAGAAGGCTGTGCAGAGAGGAGTACGCATAAAGACAGGAGGGGAAATGTGAATTTTGAATTTTAACCAAGCTCTTCATGCCACAGCACATCACCCTGGGCACAGCAATCAGCAGCACCCATGGTCAGTGTACCAAGCTGTCACAGAGAAGGGAAATTTCTTATTTAAAGGAAAATACCATACAAGTGACAAGATTTAAAGTCTAGAAGATATGTAGGAAGACAATGCTGTTTAAACACACAGCTGAACAGAAAATGGAAAGCAGGTATTTTTGGGATTCTGAGATTATGCTTGAAGTTTCTAACATTAAACTCCAACAGCAGGGATATATAACAGCACAAATTAACTGGGCTAGCAGACCACTTAGATTTGCTGTTGTTTTTCAGTCAATAGGTCACTTCCCTGGGTTAGGGGTTGTGCTCTGCCAAGCAGCAGGATTTTCTAGCTGGTTCTATATTGATGAGAAAATAACTCTTGGATTCTGTGGTGCCATAGGTCATAAATAAAATTAGAAATTAATACGTTCTTTGATACTGCAAAATTTCTGCCTTTAATATTCTTAGAGTATTATGTTATTTTTCAAATATACTAGAAGTTTTTCAAATATATTAGAAACCCATCTCAGCCAATTTTTTTTGCAAGGTATTTTATAGACATTATCTTCTGAATTCCACTTGAGACGCTGTCTACTAATTGTGCTGGTAGTTAATCCAGATTTAGTAACTTAGAGTGGGATTTTGCCAGTTAGGTCCCTTTAGGGTTGGACACTCAGAAGTGTTGTGGCCATGGAGCCTATTTAATCATGCAGATGTAGGTACCTCTCTGGTCTGTATAGTTGTGTTTACATTGATACCCCTAAAAGTGAAATAACTTGCCAGTTTTAAGCACTGTGTACAATGGATGAGAGACAGCATGAGTAGCACTGAGTTCTATGGACAGATCTGTGTTGCTGAACAGCATTATTAGCAACAGAAAAAAATGCTATCTCATCTACCAGTTTCAGGACATTTTATTGGTCCCTGATAGGATAAGAAGATTCCACGTTCTTTATTTCAGAGAGAAGTGGTTTTTATCTGTGAAATGTCCTTATTCTCAAAAACAAATGTCACAGGCTAAAATACTTAAACACTGAGGAAAGTGACAGTTCTCTCCTTTCCTTTTGCCCTCAGCAAAAATGAAGTCTTGGCTAGCTACTGGCATTTTTTTTTTTTTTAGGAATTATGCCTGCTCAGATATTTATTTTTATATTGCTGCAACTTTTTTCCTGATTCCTACAGAAATGAGGCTTATGCAATCCTGCTGCGTGCGCTTGTATCTTCGTCACTTCCACACCCCTGAAATCTTTTGAACCTATTGACAAATTTCAACCCATTGATCTCTCAAAGAAAATCAAGTTCCTACAAGCTTTGTGAAAATAACCTGCTCATAGAGAGGCTGGCTACAGTGGAAACAGGCACCGTTTCAGACAGAGGAAAACCCACTTTTAGGAAAAGTGTTTATTTATAAACACCTGTCCATGGGGAGTATTTCAGGGAAAGCTGTTTCCTTCTTTGAACTGAAGTCAATTGAGTCTGAGGCTCTGGTCTTTCAGCAGCCAGGCTTCAATGTGCTGATCTCCACAGCATGTGAGGATACTGATTTTCAGTAATGATTTACCACCTTAACCGCATTTAAAGCAAATGATTTTTAAAACCACTTAATTTTCCATTTCCTCCCCTTTTTTTTTTCTTTCTTCCTTTTTGTTAAGAACCAAAAACTGCCCAATAGCCTGTCTCTTAAGAGCAAGACCTTATGCTCATCACCCTAGAAGTCAACCCTTGACCTTTAACACTGTCACTTTTCTCTGTGGATTCTGAGGTTAAAGTTACAGAATTGCTGAAACAGATAACAGAGTGCAGAAGGCTGAAAAGTGACTGGGACAAACCTCCAGGGACAAAGTTAATCTGTTGGAGCATTTCCTGTGTGTACTTTGAAACCTCTCAATTTAACTTGATCAAAGCATGAGCCGACACATTTCAGCTCCCTACTGAACAAACAAATTTGCTGCTTATCGTTGTTGCCACCTCAGCCTTTAATTTACTTTACTTAGTAAGCCAGTACATGTTAAATGAACAACCTGGTTACTACAAAATGCTGGGTGCTGGTCTCCAGTAAAGGCTGCAGTTTCCCCTACATTATTTAGCTCAGCACATCACAGACCCTGTTTTTCACCACAATCTCGATGTAAAAGGAAGCTTAAGCCATACACAGCCAGTGTGGCCCACAGTGGCCTCTTAGGGACCACTAGACCCATCAGCATCCATTGGCTTGTATTTGAGTGTCTTGAGATTCTACCTTTCTTTTTCATCAATTCCCACAGGACGTATGTGGACCAAGAAAATAAATGGTGATGCTTTCAAAACACATTGGATTAGCACCTTTCAAAGCACATATGGATTAATAGATCGTTTAAACATAACTTTTTTTTTTTTTAAATCAAAAGCAGTAACTAATACTTTTTTTAATGTTCTGGTAGTTGGGATTCTTTTTCCCCCAAAAAAAGTTTTAGTGAAGTTGACAATAATAAAGCCTAGTGTGAGGTGTTGCATGAAGGGAGCATGATCAGACAGCCTGGCTTGTGTACAGTAATGAGCTAAAGTGGCTGCTTTCTGTTTTTAAACCAAAACAACTTGGCAAGTGTTTTTAAACAAAGTCTAAAATATTTCCATTGTTTCACATTTATTTAAATGCTCTGGTCCATATTTTCCAGTATATTTGCCTTTCCTTAATCTCAGGGGAATTGAGTCCAATTATTTGATTTCTGTGTTAAGTATTCTTCAGTGCTTCTCTGTGGCTGCAGAACCCCTGAACTAGGAAATTAACTCCTGTCCAGGAGTATACTCCAGGGTATAGATTTCGGGGTCCATCATGGAAATATTGCAATATCCTGGGCTTGAGGAAACAATAAGTCAATAAACCAGCCTCTTAGACCAACCTTCTTCCCAGAGCAATGCTAGAAGGGAATTTCACTTGATACAGGTAGGTGCAGATATAACGTACTCTTCATCCAAGCCATGGCTTCCTTTGGCAGTTTCTTCCCTTCTTTCAAGTAAAGCTGACTTCTTAAAACGTTCTGTAAGCTCAGATATTAACCATAATCAGTTTTTATTCTACTTCTGTGTTCATCACTCATTGAAAATGCAAAATACTTAGACAATGTAAGCAATGACGGAAAATGTCTAAAAAAGTGCAGTGCAGTGACACATCCCCCCTTGGAATTAATGGGACACGTGTGATGCTCTCCTGAACATTTCCCTGAGTGTCATTCAGAGACTTTTGAGCATCTCTGTAGGAAATGACAGGGCAGCCAGCCACATGTGGCAGTGTCTGCTGACACAGACCAGCCTCTGCAAGCAATTCAATGATAAATGTATTGTGTCTTTCCCCATAACAACCACAGATTAGTTGAGTTTAGGGGTTTGTGGAGCTTGCAGGTGATCTTTTGGTCTAGCTGACATGTA